AAGCGATTGATGTTCTTCTCAATATCAGGGAAGTACTGGAGGTCAAGGCGCGAGCAGTCAGCCTCAAGGTGGTGGCAGCGACATTCAGGAACCTGCCTTGAGCACTGGAAAGCTGAAACACAAATGCTGGAATTACCTTGTGTATGTCGTCCAGACCAATTAACTCTGGTGAAATGGCGCACTATACATACATACAAACATATATATCTATTTATACATATGTATATACAGTGGACCCCCGGTTAACGATCACCTCCAAATGCGACCAATTATGTAAGTGTATTTATGTAAGTGCGTTTGTACGTGTATGTTTGGGGGTCTGAAATGGACTAATCTACTTCACAATATTCCTTATGGGAAAAAATTCGGTCAGTACTGGCACCTGAACATACTACTGGAATGAAAAAAGTTCGTTAACCGGGGGTCCACTGTATATGTATATATATACATATATATATATATATATGAATTTTCTTTTATTGAGAAAATAAAACTGGAATAGAATTCTTCCCCCGTAAGTCATGCCTTTCACAACAGGCGTCTAAGGGGCTAGTATCCTCTTCTCCTGTTTACATTACTAATTTTAAAAAGAGAAACTTTTTTTAGGTCACCCTGCCTCGGTGGGATATAGCCGGTTTGCTCGCCAGAGGCACGCTTACAGTACACTTATTAAACTGCAATATTAACACCCCTCCTTAAGAGTGCAGACACTGTACTTCCCATCTCCAGGACTCAAGTCCGGCCTGTCGATTTCCCTGAATCCCTTCATAAATGTTATGCTCCTATCTAACACGCTCACGCATGCTTGCTGGAAGTCCAAGCCGCTCACACACAAAACCTCCTTTACCCTCTCCCTCCATTCTTTCCTAGTCTGACCTTTCCTCTGCCTTCCCTCCACTACAGATTTATACACTCTCGAAGTCATTCTATTTTGTTCCATCTTCTCTACATGTTCGAACCAACCTCAACAACCCTTCCTCAACCCTCTGATAATCCCGCACCTTCTCCTAATTTCCAAACTAAGGATTCTCTGCATTATATTCACACTACACATTGCCCTCCGGCACGACATCTCCACTGCCCCCAGCCTTCCCTTTGTTGCAACATACGCCAGCCATGCTTCGCACCCATATAAGAGCATTGGTATAACTATATTTTCATACACTCTCCTCTTTGCTTTAATGGACAAAGTTATTTGTCTCCACAGACTCGTTAGTGCACCACCCACCTTTTTCCCCCTCGTCATTTTTATAATTCGCTTCATCTTTCATAGACCCATCTGCTGGCACATCACTCCTAAATATCTGAATACATTCACCTCCTCCATACTCTCTCCCTCCAATCTGATATCCAATCTTTTGTCACCTAATTTTTTTGTTATCCTCATCACCTTACTCTTTCCTATATTCACTTTCAATTTTCTTCGTTTATATACCCTACCAAACTCATCCACCAACTTCTGCAACTTCTCTTCAGAATCTCCCAAGAGCACAGTGTCATCAGCAAAGAGCAACTGTGACAACTCCCACTTTGTGTTTGATTCTTTATCTTTCAATCTTACACCTCTCACCAACACCCGAGCATTCACCTCTCTTACAACCCCATCTATAAATATACTGAACAACCATGGTGACGTCACACATCATTGTCTAAGGCCTACTTTTACTGGGAAATAATCTCCCTCTCTCCTACTCATTCTAATCTGAGCTTCACTATCCTCGCAAAAACTTTTCAATACTTTCAATATCCTACCTCCTATTCCATATATTTGCAACATCTGCCACATTTCCCCCATATCCACCCCGTCATACGCCTTTTTCAGATCCATAAATGCCACAAAAACCTCTTTACCCTTATCTAAATACAGTTCACCTATATGTTTCACTGTAACCACTTGGTCTACACACCCCCTATCCTTCCTAAAGCCTCCTTGTTCATCTGCTATCCTACTCTTCGTCTTTTTCCTAATTCTTTCACTAATAACTCTATCATACACTTTACCAGGTATACTCAACAGACTTTTTCACCTATAATTTTTGTGCTCTCTTTTGTTCCCTTTGCCTTTATACAAAGGAACTATGCATGCTTTCTGCCAATCCCTAGGTACCTTACCTTCTTTCAGATATATATATATATATATATATATATATATATTATATATATATATATATATATATATATATATATATAATATATATATATATATATATATATTATATATATAATATTATTAAAATATATTAATTAGCCTAAGCCAAATAAATATATTTAGTTGGATTAGGCTAAATTATAATAATATTCTTTTGGTGCAAAATTTTTATTTTTTACATTAACATAGGTGAAGAAAAATATATCTTTAAACGTATAAGAGAAAATTTTAGAAAGGACTTAATTTTAAATGAGTTCTTGCTAATTGACCAGAGTAGGGTTCGTCCTAGGAAAGTTTGGAATCAGGGAGTAAAGGTTTGGTGTGAGAGGGGCTTAGTTGTACATTCCTTTCTTTGCCTCTATGGATAACTTTTTTTTTTCTCCACAGATACCTCAATGCACCACTCACCTTTTTTCCTTGATCAGCTCTATGGCTAACCTCTTCCTTCATAAACCCATCTGCTGACAAATCTATGCCCAAATATCTGAACACATTCACTTCTTCCTTACTCCCTCCCTCCAATGTGATATCCAATTTTTATCTAACTCGTTTGATACCCTTATCACCTTACTCTTATCTATGTTCACTTTCAACTTTCTTTACACACACTCCCAAACTCATTCGTTAACCTTTGCATTTTCTCTTTAAAATCTCCCAAAAGCACAGTATCATCAGCAAAAAGTAACTGTGTCAACTCCAATTTTGAATTTGATTCCCTGTAGCCTAATCCCACCCCTCTCCCCAACACCCTAGCATTAACTTCTTTTACACCTAACTCCATCTATAAATATGTTAATCAACCATGGTGACAATACACATACCTGTCTAAAACCTACTTTTACTGGAAAGTAATCTCCTTCTATCCTACACTCTAACCTCAGCCTCACTATCCTCAGAAAAACTCTTTACAGCATTTATTAATTTGCTACCTATCCCACACACCTGCAACATCTGTCACATTGTTTCCCTCTCCACCCTATCAAATGCCTTTTCTAAATCTACTGTCGAATTCCGTTTGTTCCCTAGGCTTTCTTAACCTATTTATCTCACTCCAAATTTTTTCTTATTCTCAGCAAAATTTGTTGACAGCACCTCACCCACTCTATCATATGTACTCCCTCACCAATCTCTTCACCTCTCTTTTACTCTCCGTACATTCCACCCTTTTTTATATCACTTCTATTATGTAAAAATCTCTCATAAGCAATCTTTTTTCTCTTTTATCACACCCTTTACCTCATCATTCTACCAATCACTCCTCTTTCCTCCTGCACCCACCCTTTTATAACCACAAACTTCTCCACATTCTAACACTGCCTTTCTAAAATGATCCCACCCCTCTTAAACCCCCCATCCTACCTATACTCTCATTAGTCCACCTTTCTCCCAGTAGTTGCTTATATTTCACCTAACTTCTTCCTCCCTTAGTTTATAAACTTTCACTTCTCTCTTACTTGCTTTTGCCATTTTCCTTTTGCTCCATCTACCTCTTACTCAAACTGTAGCTACAACTAAATAATGATCCAATATATCCGTTACCCCTCTATAAACATACACATCCTGAAGTTTCCCCATCAACCTTCTATCCAGCACCACATAATTAAACAAACCAGGACAGATTCTCTGCCACCTTGTCAGTCGGAGCAGGGAAATCGTTGAAATTGACTGGCTGGAAAGCAATAACTGGCAGCTCAGACAGAGGATCCTTGATTTATTTTCAATGGGACCTCTCCAATGCTCAGGACCACTTGGCTTACCGTCATAGTGGTAGAAAACAGCCCGGAATAGCAGCTCATTTCCATGAAGCTGACAGATGAAATAATGGACTGGATAACCAAGCAACATTTCAAGATGATGAATGGCTCCACTGACAGCTCCAACATTTATGTTGGTTCCATCACTACCAATACATACGACAGGCTACCAAGTTAGTTTCTGTTCCACCAGAAATGTATAGCTAGTCTAGGCAATCTCCTTTCCACTGCCTGACTTAGGAGTCACATGAGTGAGACATTTAGTGCCGGGTTCCACCATGAAGATGTAATGATCTTTCATCACTATCTTTAGACTCAATTTCTTGGTCTTCTCATTTTTTGTCATCGCGAATGGAGGTCTTCTTACCATCAGAATACAGTGATGTGATATTTTCCAAGTTTGCTAGCTAATTTTCTGCCTCTCCATTATGTATTTGTATTGTATTGTATGAGGTTTGCCGGTACTGCCGGCCTGGGTCTTCTCCAGATGGCGTTCCGGCCTTGGCTCCCAGGAATGGGAGTGTCTTGAGGGCAATGCCAGCGCTGAGTAGCTGACGATGTGAGGACGGGTGATGGGGCTGCGCAGCAGCGGTCAGGAATGGCCGAGAAAGGAGCCATTACAGGGTCGATTGGAGCCACACCCCAGCTTTAGCCCATGGCAAAGTGCTGGGGAACTCAGCTTCACAGTGATTGGTCAGTGGGAAGTTTGTTATTCGAGTGATCCGTTTTGAAGAGATCTAAACTTCTTTCTTGAGAAGTAGTTCACTGCAAACGGGGTTGCGGTGTCTGGTAAATGACGGCTGAGGCGCAGGAGTATTTGTTCGGTTGGGTAGACATGTTTGGAGTCGAAGGTGAGCTTAACAGTCCCATCCTGGAGTAGCTGGTGGAGTTATTGGGCAAGCATTGCATTCTTGTTTTGGTCAGTAGTATAGAACGAGATACCAGGCGTATGAATGAATAGAGGTTGGCTATCATTGGCTGAGGTAGCCACAGGAGAGCTGGCGGTAGTGGCTGTGGAAGGAGTGTCTCCAAGGACCTTGGCAAGGAGAGTTTCAACACGAAGTTATAGTACTTAACTCTCTTAGCTGGTGGCAGCTGAGGTAGGACAGGGGAGGTCACTGATTGGTCCATTACGGTGGTGGTGGATGAATATGGTGGTGGTCTCTCATTGGTGAGATTTAGCGGCGGCTCGACAGTCTCTGATTGGTCCATCTCCATGGTGGAAGGAGGCGGTGGTGATTGATGGAACTGTGGAGATATTGACAGTATTTGCAGTGGATTTATTGATGTCAGACGAAGGTGGAGATTCTAGGAATGTAAAGCTGGGCATGTTGTTGAGCCTGATGGTGGAACTGAATGATCCAGGTGTGGCTACATTGTGTACACGGGCATACATGATGCAGTAAAGAATTTTGGTGGAGTCGCCAGCAGGAATCGGTGTTGTAGTATTGGTGGAGGACACATATTGAGTAGCCTGGGAATCTTGGTTGTATCTGCTTGCAGTTTTGCAATAACAGCATATGTTAAAAATTAAGCAGTGGTTTTCTTTTTCTGTTCTAGTTGTTTCTTGAGTACTTCTCGTCTGGTTGGGTTTTTGGCAGCAATGGTATGGTGCTCTTTCTTGCAGCTCAGGCATTTAGGTGGAGTGGTGATGATGCAAAGACTTGAAATCATGTCCTTCGTTGCCGAATGTTGAGCAGAACTTCTTGTCCTTGGTGGGACAGTCCTTAGTGGTGTGCAAATAGAAGTAACAGTTATAACACTGTGTGTGATGTGCTTGAATCTCTCAGCTTTAATGTAGGTTGGGTTGATATGAAAATACCGAATAGCCAGTCCCTCAGCGAGAGCCCTGGCTGCCATGTTAACATCAGAGAATGTCACCTTTAGCAAAGAGGAAGAATTGGGTATTTTAGTGATATGTTCCACCGTGGCCCAAGCGTTCTGGTCTTGGATGGATATTTTGATTTCTTGATTATCCTAGGTAGTAATGAGCTTATCCAGTCGCTTGAGGAACACAATTCTCTTGCCCCTCAAAGCTGGGGAAGTCATGACTTGAAATCCTCGCTGGTGAAGAGTGGTAGTAGCGTGGGTAGTGATGAGTTTCTCGGCCTCGATGTCGCCGGTACAGACTACAACGAAAGCCTCTTTGAGCGATAGAATCGCATTACATTCGACTTTCAGCATGCCACTGAGGGCAGGTGTAAGTGCTATTTTAAATGATCATTGACTATCCCGCTCGATGGTTTGATCTTCACTCTGTTTGAGAAATGCATCGTGGAATATGATGCCGAATGTAGAGGTGAAGGTTCTCTTTCCCCGACGGGGATCGTCGGGAGACCGATTCGGTATTTGTGTCTGACATCTCGCAACTACTGTGGTCCAATAATTTGACTTTTGTCGTTCTTGGTGATAATGCCATAGTCCATTAAGGTGGTGGTAGCAATGGCAGCTCCAGCATAATGACTGAGAAAGTTAATTATGTTTATAAATGCTGCAGAGTGTATAGATACACTACACAAAACACTGCGCTCCGCTACTCAGTAATACTGACATATTAAAAAATTTCAGTCGCAAATGCTGTAGACTAAACCTCAACCAATGAACTTCATATTTGGCACTGAATATAAAATGTATATAAGGAACAATGCCTGAAGAGTGCAGCTTTGACCAAAATTTCAATGCTCCCTAGTGTGTAGCCACTTGTCTGTGGGTTATTTATGAATAACATATATACTCCGAATTTTGCAGTTGTAATTATCTCATAAATTTAAATTGAGGGTAATTTTTTGACACTTAAAACGTACTCCTATTTCTAAATTAGAGAAGGTGCCAAGATGCTGCGGAGCAAAAGAAACGCTCAAATGCACCCAGTACCCAGATCACATGATTGAAAATTTAATGCAAATGACACACATGCACACTCTTGTACTGGTTATAGCATAATTAAAATGCGGTTGGCTGTTTACTTTGAGTGTTTTCACAGTGCCGTGTTGTTGTTACAGTGTGCATTAATAACACTGTGGTAGACCAGCCTACAGTGCTAAGAGCAGGCGGATCCGTCCCCAGGCCTCTCTCGCACTTTGACCCCACAAGGAAGGTTCCTTGATGTTGATGAGGGGCTCTTGATTTAGGGAATTGGATCTGTGCTCCAGTTCTTCTAATTAAGTCTGAATGCCTTCCACATCCCTCCCCCCCAGGCGCTGTATAATCCTCCGGGTTTAGCGCTTCCCCTTTGATTATAATAATAATAATCGCACTTTGACACTTGCTACATGAAAATGCATATCCTGAAATTTTGTAAGTTATACCTAGAAATATTTTCGTTGTGAGAATGATTATTTAATTGGTCAGTGTACTTAGGGTCAACTGCTCATGTATTATTCCTCTTCAAGATATAATTATCACGAGGGCTGAGGAAGGGTTGTTGAGGATGGAACAAAATAGAGAGTGTATAAATCCGTATTGGAGGGAAGGCAGAGTAAGGGTCGGCCTAGGAAAGGTTAGAGGGAGGGGGTAAAGGAGGTTTCGTGTGCGAGGTGCTTGGACTTCCAGCAAGTATGCGTGAGCGTGTTAGATAGGGGCGAATTGAGACAAATAGTTTTAAGGATTTGAGGTGCTGTTGGAGTGTGAGCAAGATAACATTTATGAAGGGATTCAGGGAAACCGGCAGGCCGGACTTGAGTCCTGGAGATGGGAAGCACAGTGCCTGCACTCTGAAGGAGGGGTGTTAATGTTGCAGTTTTATAACTGTAATGTAAAGCACCCCTCTGGCAAGACAGTGATGGAGTGAATGATGGTGAAAGTTTTTCTTTCTCGGGCCACCCTGCCTTGGTGGGAGACGGCCGATGTGTTAATAAAATGAAAAATATATGTAGTGCCGAATAAGTGTAACTTGTGATTTGGGCGTAAATAGTAACGCACTTCTTGCCAATAAAGCAAGCGAAAATTTGTGTATGCAATAATTTTCGCAAAAATCATTTTGAACCTAACGAAAAAATGTTTCATTGTGTTCTTTTATTATTAAAATACTATATTGAAGTATGCCAGGCATGAGGAGGTCAGTGACATCATAAAGAGAAGCCTCGCCACAGCTCATTGCCCAGCTCAACGGGAACCCAAGTGCAGAGGTCTGACGGAAGTCAAAAGCGTCCTGATGGAGCCACTATGCTACCTTGGAAGGATGGAAAGCAGATTGCCTGGGACTACACATGTGCCGTCATATTGGCAGACACCTACTTGCCACACTCCGTAGTGGAAGGGGGTGGAGCTGCCAGCCACAGGGAGACCCAGAAGATCCGCAAATATGAAGACCTTCCCCTTTGGTATAACTTCATCCCAATAGGGTCGGAGACCCTTGGAGCATGGGGCAAGTGTGCTCTAAAGTTCCTAATGGAGCTGGGTGAAAAACTCATCATAGAAACCAAGGACCACAGGGCGACCAGCTTCCTCTTTCAGAGATTCAGTGTTGCAGTCCGGAGAGGAAATGCCTGCAGCAATCTGGGCACGCGGCCCACCGCCGGGGAGCTGGACGAAGTATTCGAGATGTAGCTCTGAGTTACCTATGTTGTTTTACTTTCTATCGTATTTTTGTGAATGTTTTGTCAATGTATTTTGTCTTTAAATAAAATATACATAAAATATAGGGGGTGGTAGGAGAAAATTCTCAAACAGCTTTAGGGAGAACCTTGAGTTTTCCCTGAAGCAAGTTTATTCTTTTCTCTGAGGATGAGGGTCCCTATAACAGTTCTAGAGGTGGTACCTCCCTATATATATATATATATATATATATATATATATATATATATATATATATATATATATATATATATATATATATATATATATATATATATATATATATATATAAGAACATAAGAACATAAGAAAGGAGGAACACTGCAGGAGGCCTGCTGGCCCATACTAGGCAGGTCCTTTACAATTCATCCCACTAACAAAACATTTGCCCAACCCAATTTTCAATGCCACCCAAGAAATAAGCTCTAATGTGAAAGTCCAACTCAAATCCAACCCCTCCCACTCATGTACTTATCCAACCTAGATTTGAAACCACCCAAAGTCCCAGCCTCAATAACCCAACTAGGTAGACTGTTCCACTCATCAACTACCCTATTTCCAAACCAATACTTTCCTATGTCCTTTCTAAATCTAAACTTATCTAATTTAAATCCATTACTGCGGGTTCTCTCTTGGAGAGACATCCTCAAGACCTTATTAATATCCCCTTTATTAATACCTATCTTCCACTTATACACTTCGATCAGGTCTCCCCTCATTCTTCGTCTAACAAGTGAATGTAACTTAAGAGTCTTCAATCTTTCTTCATAAGGAAGATTTCTAATGCTATGTATTAATTTAGTCATCCTACGCTGAATGTTTTCTAACGAATTTATGTCCATTTTGTAATACGGAGACCAGAACTGAGCTGCATAATCTAGGTGAGGCCTTACTAATGGTGTATAAAGCTGCAGTATGACCTCTGGACTTCTGTTGCTTACACTTCTTGATATAAATCCCAGTAATCTATTTGCCTTATTACGTACGCTTAGGCATTGCTGTCTTGGTTTAAGGTTGCTGCTCACCATAACCCCCATAACGAGGTGTATACACCTCGTTTTTTGTGTATTTGTAACCTCTGTCATGTGTGTTACAAGTAGTGTTGGAATGAGCGTGAAATTCATTATCAACTCTCATCTAAAACTTCATCTAAAAATCATTTTAATGATTTTTATTTTCGTGAGTTAAAGTATGCATGGCAAGGTATACAAATTTCATTACTTTTTCTTCGCTTGCAAAGTTTAAACAAGAGTTTGTTTAAAGATTAGTTGCTAACTGCTGAGGAGTGACCTGCGCAAATCGTCATCCCATTTGGCTTAAAATTCCCTGAGGTAATGATTAGTACACGTGTAGTGATTAAGCACTGTGTATTAACTCGCCTCAGAGAAATATGAATGAGATTGTCGCTTGGAATATTAATGAATCCTGACTAGAATATTGTTTCTCCTGACCAACAAGTTGAGGTACTCATACTTTTCGTTTTTTTTTTAAGCTTGTTATTTAGGGAAAAATATAAATTTCATTTATTTACAAAGTCTAGGATTTTTAGCACTGAAACAGATAATAGGATTTAATTGGTTTCTACTGTATAACCAGTTTTCAAGTTTTTACTTTAATATTTTCGTCTAATTATTATGAATATTGTTTTTAATTAACATATTGAATTGGTACTTTGTATAAACATGCATCGAAGACTTTTACCCTTGTTTTGGTAATATTACTGTTTGCTGTTGATGGTTGAAGTACCCTGGGATGTTGACACTGTGTTTTCTTACCATGCATGTGGTGCCCTACTTCTTACTAGTTTTATCTCACAGTCCTTCCGTATCTCTCACTCCGGTAAGCCGTCATGGTAGTGTGTAGGGAGCTCCACAGTATCTTCCATGAATATATTGTCACATATCTCTCCCTTTTCACTTCGTAGAGTTCATTACAAGTACTTCGAAGCTTTCCCAGTAGTTTATGTCTTTTATTGTCTCTCTGTGAACAGTAAACGATCTGTGTGCCTTTTCCAGCTGTGATATTTCTTCTGAATTAAACACAACTGTGAGCACACAACAATATTCTAGACGTGAGAGAACTAGTTAAACTACCATCACCACCCACACTACCACCATCACCACTACAACCACCTCCACCATCACCATCCACCACTACAACCACCACCACCATCACCACCACTACTACAACCACCCCCACTACCACCATCACCACCACCAGTACCACCCAGCCATCATTACTAATTCCATCACCACTACCACACCCACTACCACTATCAATACACCACCACTACCACCATTAATACCACCACCACTACCACACTCACTACCACCATCAATACCACCACCACTACCACACCCACTACCACCATCACCACTACTACCAAATTTTTATTTCGATGTTTTCTTTAACAGCTAAAATGCAAATATCATTTTTTATATAACACTGGTCAACAATTTTTGAAAAGTCGTATGCTTCTTAAATGAGATTAGTTAATTCTCATATATTTTCATGTCCTGAATCCAAATATCACCTTGAAAAATGCTTATTGGTTATAGGTTTAAAGCTATGAGACATGTAATATTTGATTATTTTATTATAATGTACAATATGTGTCAGTATGTTTTAAACTCTAATCCGTACCTACTCTCTGCCTTTTTGCTTGACGTTTATAGTGGGCTGAAGAATCATCTCTTGCCAATGTCCAGCAATAGTCTGCAAGCATTCTTGTGCCCCATTTGCCCTGGTACCATTTTTTCATGGTTGAAATATCTTGGTGAAACCTTTCACCATGTTCATCACCAACTGTCTCACAGTTCGCTGGAAAAAAGTCTAAATGTGAGTCCAAAAAGTGGATTTTAAGTGACTTGCTACAACCCATGTTCTTGTAAACCTTGATGGTTGAGCTGCTGCTGACGGTCACAAAATTTTGAAATCTTCACATCAGCTGCGAGGAGTTTCCACTGTTAAAGACGAGAGCCTAGCAGCTCTGCCTTATTTTTGCGTAGTTGCAGATCCCTGAGAAGGTCATGGAGTTTCCTTTTTGTTATGAGATATAGCTTAGAGGAGTGTGCTTCATCAAAATTTCGGTCACTCTGTCATCCAGCACTGTCATCCCTCTCTTCTTCCTCCTCACCACTTTCTTCATCTGACTCGAAGGATACTGAGGTTGGTGCATCAGGAACAGGTAGACCTCCATGTGGAACTGGGCGAATAGCTGATGGAATGTTTGGATATTCAATGGACCCCTTTTTTTCTTTGACAAGCCCTTTTGTGCTGGAGGTACTATGAAGAAATAACAATTGTTGGTATGGTCTGTTGGCTCCCGCCATGTCATTGGCACAGCAAAAAGGATTCCTTTCCTCTTCCTGTTCAACTATTGGCGAATGTTAGTAGCACAATTGTTGCAGCATATGTGTGGAGCCCAGTTCTTATCCTGGTCACCAATCTTGCATCCAAAATATAGGTGATATGCCTTTCTAACCATAGCAGTTACACGGCGCTTCTGTGATGCAAAGGTCACCTCACCACAAATGTAGCAGTTGTCAGCCCTATTCACACAAGTACGAGGCATCTGAAAGAAGAAAACAACAAGCAATTAGAAGATAAACAGAAAATTTATTCATTACTTTATCATTATAATACAGAGCATGACAACTAAGCAGAAGTATTTATAACATTCAGTAGGAAAATAAAACTAATATAATATGCCTCACATGCATATCAATAGCTTGCTCAGTAAATATTTATTATAAGTTTAAAAACTGTTTGGCTAGAAAATCACCTACCTTTCACCTCAAAATATATTATAACTTGCACAGCAAAACCACCTCCTATGACTGCTGGAACAATAATGAAGGTCAGTAAGGCTGTGAGTGTGGTAAGAAACACACTGCCACAAGCCTGTTGGAACCTGTTGTGACATGTAGGTGTATACTGAAAAGTAGAGCTAACAATTTTAACCATGATATTTATTATCAGTGACCTAAAATTAGTTGGAAATTGCTACTCTGGTCTCGGAAGCATTTTGGTTCTTGATCAGTGTAAGTATTTGACTTATATTAGCTATGAATGTAGGTAGGATGTTACATTTACACTTTACTGTGCTCGCTGTTGGAGAGTTGTGACTGGCTGTCCACTCTCACAGCCTTGATAACTACCGGCTCTCTTGTTTATGTCAGGCAGTACCTGCCGGCATCGCTGGAGTAGCACTGGTTAGTCACGTGATCGCACGTAAGGTTGGAGCTACCATCCCTACATCTCTCTACAGCTTGTTTTCGCTTGAGAAGCATCTCTCTCGATAGCTACTTCTCCTACGAGAAGCATCTCTCTTGTAGCTCTCGTCTCTCTTGCTGTTTGTTCGTGATTTAAACTCGTTTTTGTAGAGTATGTTCGATGGAGAGCCGAAGCATACTTCTTGTAACTCTGTCCACGGAGCATTGCTCAGACTTTGTGATTTTTGACGTTTTGCTGAGGTTGTGTCATGGAGACACTCTGTTCAGCCTTGGTCCAAGCTGAAGCTTCTTGTGGCATCTACACACCGCTGAACTTAGATTCAGCATTAAGGGAGTTTTATGCAGTTTCTGGAGGATCTGCCCGAGGTCCCCATTTAGGGTTGTTATTTTGTCTCCTTGTTATTGCTGCTGCTTACTGCTGCTTCGTACATTTTTGCTGTTTAGTAAATGGTTCGTTATATTGTTCAAGCAACTGTTTGTCTTGTTGGTCGAGACGCCTCAAGGAAGGTTCCTTGATGCTGGTGAGGGGCTCTTGATCTAGGGAGTTGAATCTGTGCTCCAGTTCCCTGAATTAAACCTGAATACCTTCCACATCCCCCCATAGGCGCTGTATAATCCTACGAGTTTAGCGCTCCCCCCTTGATTATAATAATAATAATATTGGTCGAGAAGATAGATTATTTGTAGACTTGTTGTCAGTCACTGTTTAAGTCGAGTTGAGTCGAGTCATATTGAGACATAACGAATACTTTGAGCACATACACACATACTCACACACAATTGTACATTCTTATATTGTTCTTTTGAGTATAACTCGTCATAGTTACGTACTTGATGGTACTTAAGAGTCATACTGATATAAAATGCTTCCTCAGCACTATACTACTATATGTACAGTTTAACATTGCAATTACTAATGTAAACAAAAGTATTGTACAAGAAAAGTATAGGCACTTATCTCCTAAATTATATAAAAAATATGAAAATGTCTACCTAGACACCTTTGTTATTAAAGATCTCAAATTTTATTTCGTTAGTGTGAGTTCCATCACTTGTGATACCAATGGAATATTAAAATTGCTCTTAATTTTAAAGGATAACTGGTACAGAATATTATCTGACAAACTGTTACAAAACCAGAAACATGTTACAGGGGATCAATAAATTGACCTTATAGTATTCTCTGGAGATATCTATACTGCATGGATATCAAATTTTGTAATACCATCAATACCACTACCACTGTCGCCCCCACCATTATCACCCATTCCACCACTACCACCCTACCATCACTGCTAATTATACCACCACTACCACCCCCACTACTACCAACAATACCACCACCACCTCGCCATCACTACCATCCCAATACCATCAATACCACCACTACCACTCCACCATCCTCATTAATTTCACCACCACTACCGCCCCCACTGACACCATCAATACCACCACCACCACCACCACCACCACCACCACCACCACCACCCCCGCTTCCACTATCAATGCTACCACCAATAATTCTCTCCATTATCACTTCCACTACTGCCATCCCACCACCTATACTAATACAACCACCTCTACCAGGTAACCTACAGTTACCTGAGCAACCTATAGTTACCTGGGTAGCTTACAGTCATCCAGGTAGCTTACAGTTATCCAGGTAGCTGACAGTTATATACGTAGCCTATTATTACCCTGGTAGCCTACAGTTACCCTGGTAGCCTACAGTTACCCTGGTAGCCTACAGTTACCCTGGTAGCCTACAGTTACCCTGGTAGCCTACAGTTACCCTGGTAACCAATAATTACCCTTGTAGCCTATCAGTTACACTAGTAGCCTGCAGTTACCCTGGTAGCCTACAGTTACCCTGGTAGCCTAAAGTTACCCTGGTAGCTTACAGTTATCCTGGTAGCCAATAATTACCCTTGTAGCCTATCAGTTACCCTGGTAGCCTATCAGTTACCCTGGTAGCCTACAGTTACCCTTGTAGCCAATAATTACCCTTGTAGCCTATCAGTTACCCTGGTAGCCTATCAGTTACCATGGTAGCCTACAGTTACCCTGGTAGCTTACAGTTATCCAGGTAGCCTACAGTTACCCTGGTAGCCAATAATTACCCTTGTAGCCTACAGTTACCCTGGTTGCCTACAATTACCATGATAGCCTACAATTACCCTGGTAGCCTATAATTACCCTGGTAGCCTACAATTACCCTGGTATCCTATAATTACCCTGGTAGATGCAGTCACATTATATCCTTGGTATTCAGTATTCCGTCATATTTGTGAAGTGATTGACTATTGTCGGTGATCCAACACTTATGTTATGGTAATGGCTCGTTCCGCCGTGCCTTAACAACCAGAATGAGAAGTTTGCCAGCTGTACTAACCGATGTCAGCCAATTTCCCCAGAGACATGACAGTGGAGAGTGTGTAATACAGGTCGTTGCACTCGTTATGGAATGCAGCATCTGCAAGAGGGTTAGTGTAGCCGGGTCTACCAGGAGTGTTTACTCACTCAGCTTGCAAGGGCAATCTCTTCAAAATTTCCGTGACTGCTGACAAAAATATTTCACTTTTTGAATGAGGGCTACTCGTGGACCTATTTGATTTTTCAGTGATAGACGGAAGGAGGGAAGTAGAGAGGGGAGGGAGGGAGGGAGAGGGAGAGGGAGGGAGGGAGAGAGAAAGAGAAAGAGAAAGAGAGAGAGAAAGAGAGAGAGAGCGAGAGAGAGAGAGAGAGAGAGAGAGAGAGAGAGAGAGAGAGAGAGAGAGAGAGAGAGAGAGAGAGAGAGAGAGAGAGAGAGAGAGAGAGAGAGAGAGAGAGAGGAAAATAAAGTATGGATGCTGTTATATATATTAGGTTAGGATAAGCTAGGTTAGTTTAAGACAGATTTTTACCTGTGTCGCTGCTGCTGTTTCCTAGACCTGATTTACGGAAGATCATATGACTGGTTAGGTATTAAATATCGTTTTCCGTTTAAAATACCAGTATTAAGCATTTCTGTCTTAACCTCTAGAAACTTATTATTATACCAAAACTAAAATTACTTCCTTTGGAAGTTTCCTCAAGTTAGAATGTATACAGAAGAATGGTATTGTGTACCTTAAATTATGAATATACGTATAATGCCTACCACGGTCCGTGAAAAAGTATATCGTTTAAAATATGCTAAGAATCTTCCCTAAAGTGTCTATATACTGAGTTTATTGCATTTCGTATAAACAATGTTTTTAAAATATGTACAGAACTTGGATGGACATTGATATTAATATGAATCAACAATATAAATACTTGTGTCCGGTATGAACAGGACACGAGTCGAAATAAGATCATGACCGCTGAGCGCCACACAAACGGTAGAAATTATTCCACAGCGATACAGTCACATGAAAGGGGGCAAAATTTGGATATATGTTTTGAAAAACATAAACTGCTGTATCAGAAAATACAAATGTGTTAGGGAACAGATACGGAATTTGTTTGTTTTAATTTTTTCGCAAGACATGAAAAGCAAACCTTACGCGTTATTTACTAACCCTCAGACCTAGACAGCGGCCTCAGTTAACCTCTACGGGACAAAATATACGAAAATGTAATTTTAATGCAATATTTTTAATCAGAGAAATTAACTGGAGGAATATGAAGGAAAAGTTCGTCTTGGACTGGTTTTTAAAGTAATTTATAACAGTAGCAACAATAGGAAATAACCTGTATCATGCTGTCCTAGTAAACAATGATTTCCTGTTAATATTCTTGAGGTTAATGTGGAACTCAGGAAGGAGAAATCACAAATCACTAAGTTTCAAATATCCCAGAGAAACACCTTAATAACTAAAGCAAAATCCCTAATTTTTGCGCTGCAGACTAAATGAGAGTAAGACTCGGTCAGTGGCGGTGATGTGAAGGGTTGTCAATATGACTTCTTCCGAAACACTGTAGAAGCAACATATATTTCTTGCAGAGAATTCTGATTAAACGAAATTGACCATAAGTGGATAAAAAACTAACACAACTCTTAAGGAAAAATAGACATATTTACCAGGCGAATCGAAAGAGCAGATAAGAGCGCTCTATGTATTGATAGAGTTGCGACTAGACTTCACTGAGACGGGATGTACTTTTTTAAAGTCTCACATATATAATTAATAAAGGGACTTGGCTCACCAAGACTGTTTTGTTCCTACTGAATCGGACACCACTTGATCAGAGGGGAAAACATAACAATAGATCGTCGACGAGCGGGGTTTCAGTCTCATCAAGAGCACCGGAGACCAGATGGCTGCCAACTTTCTCTTCCAGCGTCTCAGTATGGCAGTTCAGAGAGGGAATGCCTACTGCATCTTGAGCTACAGACCAACATCTGAGGAACTTGAGGAGCTCCACAACTTATTCTAAGAGTTTCTGTATTTAAAATTCTACATGCATGCAAATTCCTCAACATTAATATGCAACCATACATATCTTCCGCTCAGTCATTTAAAAAAAAAGTTTTAGAAATGCCCACATAATCATATATATAATTAAATTTATTATCTGTTCTAAAGATGAGGGTCCCTAATTAGGTATCCCCGAAGGTGTACCTTTAAGAGGTTGCCTGAATATTTTTTTCTCCCTTCTTCCTTTCGATTTTATTTTGCTCAAAACTCGAGAATACCTCATTCAATTAGTATCAAATTTTCAACACGCATGTATGGTAAAAATGAACCAAATTCCTGTTATAATCAGCATGTATATTTACATCTGAGGGTCTGTGCGGAAAAAGTATAGTATTCTTTGATGCAGTATACTTTGGTATACTTTGATCAATGTATGGCAAATTTCTAACATTACCTAACTCCAATAAATTTTGAGAAAGCCATTGACAACATGCCCATGCACAGCCCCGGGCCCAGACTCGTGGAACTGTGTGTTCATTAAGAACTGCAAGAAACCCTTTTCACGTGCCCTAATTTTACTCTGGAGAAGGAGATTAGACACAGGTGAAATTCCACAGTCGCTAAAAACAACGGATATATCCCCACTCCATAAAGGTGGCAGCAAAGCATTAGCTAATAACTATTGACCAATACCCCTCAAGGAACGTTCCTTGACGCTGGTGACGGGCTCTTGATCTAGGGAATTGTATCTGTGCTCCAGTTCCCTAAATTAAGCCTGGATATCTTCCACATCCTCCCCAATGACGCTGTATAATCCTACGGGTTTAGCGCTTCCCTTTCATAATAATAATAATAATAATAATAATAATAATAATAATAATAATAATAATAATAATAATAATAATAATAATAATAATAATAATAATATAAACCAATAGCCCTAACGTCCCACATCATAAAAATCTTTGAAAGAGTACTAAGAAGCAGGATTGCAAACCACTTGGATTCCCAAAACCTGCGCAATCCAGGGCAACGTGGGTTCAGAACAGGTCGCTCCTGCCTCTCGCAACTACTGGATAACTATGATATGGTCTTGGATGCACTGGAAGATAAACAGAATGCAGAGGTAATATACATAGACTTTGCAAAAGCCTTTGACAAGTGCGACCATGGTGTAATAGCCCACAAAATGCATGCTGAAGGGTTAACTGCCAAAGTGGGGAGATGGATCTTCAACTTAAGGCTAGTACACCGTTTGGTGTACTAACCTTAACGAGCAGTATTTTATATTATTGTAACCATGAATAAGTGGGACTAGAATGAAATTAGCTCAGAGGCACCCGCACCACCGTATGTCCTAGGATTACGGTAAAACACCTAGCTCTGCTGGGTGCGTAATTCTTGTAGGATTTGGTGATCATAAGGGTTAGAGCGTCATGTGGTTTTTCGCTCACCATCAGGCGGGCCAAAACAACATGGGTTCGAGTCCTTGGATAGTCACAGTGTTGTTACTGATCAGGACCATTTGTTCGTGGTTACAATAATATATATATATATATTTTTTATTATTTATTATTTTATTATCAACACTGGCGATTCCCACAAGCAGGTGGCCGAAAAGAAAACTTTCACCATCATTCCACTCCATCACTGTCTTGCCAGAAGGGTGCTTTAACTACAGTTTTAAACTGCAACATTAACATTATATATGAATATATATTGATATATATATTATTAAATATATATTATATAATCATATATATATATATATATATATATTTATATATATATATATTATATATATATTATATTTTATATATATATATATATATATATATATATACAACGAAGGTGTTCGATTCCCGCCCATTCCTTGTTAATTACGACTTACTGTGATTCTAAAACTTTTATGGCTTTGAGTGTATGAGAAATGATATACTATGAAAGCAACTGAAGGTGTGGAAAGTGAGAGGAGTCTCAGATGGTGGCCACTTAGGGAGACGTGTCACAGATGGTGGCCACTTAGGGAGACGTGTCACAGATGGTGGCCACTTAGGGAGACGTGTCACAGATGGTGGCCACTTAGGGAGACGTGTCACAGATGGTGGCCACTTAGGGAGACGTGTCACAGATAGTGGCCACTTAGGGAGACATGCCACAGATGGTGGCCACTTAGGAAAACATGCCACAGATGGTGGCCACTTAGGAAAACATGCCACAGATGGTGGCCAGTTAGGGAGACGTGTCACAGATGGTGGCCACTTAGGGAGACGTGTCACAGATGGTGGCCACTTAGGGAGACGTGTCACAGATGGTGGCCACTTAGGGAGACGTGTCACAGATGGTGGCCACTTAGGAAGACGTGTCACAGATGGTGGCCACTTAGGGAGACGTGTCACAGATGGTGGCCACTTAGGGAGACGTGTCACAGATGGTGGCCACTTAGGGAGACGTGTCACAGATAGTGGCCACTTAGGGAGACATGCCACAGATGGTGGCCACTTAGGAAAACATGCCACAGATGGTGGCCACTTAGGAAAACATGCCACAGATGGTGGCCAGTTAGGGAGACGTGTCACAGATGGTGGCCACTTAGGGAGACGTGTCACAGATGGTGGCCACTTAGGGAGACGTGTCACAGATGGTGGCCACTTAGGGAGACATGCCACAGATGGTGGCCACTTAGGGAGACATGCCACAGATGGTGGCCACTTAGGGAGACATGCCACAGATGGTGGCCACTTAGGGAGACATGCCACAGATGGTGGCCCCTTAGGGAGACATGCCACAGATGGTGGCCACTTAGGGAGACATGCCACAGATAGTGGCCACTTAGGGAGACATGCCACAGATGGTGGTCCCTTAGGGAGACATGCCACAGATGGTGGCCACTTAGGGAGACATGCCACAGATGGTGGCCACTTAGGGAGACATGCCACACAAGTGATGTCTCTGAAGTCATCCTCTTGAAAGTCTTGTCGTTTCTTTATATTAAATTGAAGAACATCAGTGGGAGACACGTATCGTAATTATATTTTCTTTGTGTTCCGTTTGTCATTATTTTATAGCAAGCCGCAGTAGGCCTACTGTGAAGCTTCTTGATTCTTTTGACCTGCTTACCATGGCACAGTAGGCCTACCGAAGACTTGCTATTTTCTTATAGTTTATGTTTTTATAACTGTTTAGTGTTGTATAACGCATTAAGGTAACTTACGGCAGAAGTCTTCGCCCCAGTGTTCTCGGACAGTGAATAAACCCGTAACACTGCTTGATGGCATCTATAGCAAGGTCCAGAGCGGCTTGAATGCCACGGTGCACTCCTTTTGATTCTGGTTGCCTAGAGACATAACAGGAAAGTCCTTGTCGGAAACCTTACACAAATAAAGGGTAATGTGAGGTATTACAGCATGAGTATACGAAGAGGTTTACAATTATGAGGTTATTACGTTCGAGATATTACTTAGGTATTAAACTATTAGGTATTATACTACCAGTAATTATACTCATGAGTGATTATAGCTATGAAATGATTGATGCATTAGATCTAGACCACTTGAGATGTGGTATCAATTGATTTACAGGTGCAAGGCAAGAGTGAAAGATAAATCTGTCAATTCCTTCCATTCTCATCAAGAGTATATTATAGTATTAAGCACGTTAAATTTTCGAAGTAAGATATTACAGCCCAGGTGATGGTCGTTGATTACTGCTGTTGTCAGTCCTGTGTGTGTCACAGCTAGTTATTCTTGGGTTGTCACGTGTGTCAGTCTACTGTGTGTGTCACCTTGCAGGTCTTGGTATGAGCACGTTGTCAGTCTTGGTGTGTGTCACGATGTTGTCAGTCTCTGTGTGCTCCTGTTGTCCAGTCTCTGGTTAGTCAGCTGTTTCAGTATCTTAGTGTTTTGTCAAGTATTGTCAGTCTTGGTGTGTGTCACGCTGTTGTCAGTCTCTGGTGTGTGTCACGCTGTTGTCAGTCTCTGGTGTGTGTCACGCTGTTGTCAGTCTCTGGTGTGTGTCACGCTGTTGTCAGTCTCTGGTGTGTGTCACGCTACTGTCAGTCTGTGGTGTGTGTCACGCTACTGTCAGTCTGTGGTGTGTGTTATGCTACTGTTAGTCTCTCGTTAGTGTCGAACTACAGTCACCCTCTGGTTTGTCATACTACTGTTAACCTCAGGTGTGTGTGTGTCACACTGCTGTCAGCCTCTGGTTTGTCATACTACTGTTAGCCTCTGGTGTGTGTCACACTACTTTCAGTCTCTGGTGTGTGTCACACTACTCTGGTGTGTCTAAACTACTGTCAGTCTCTGGTGCGTGTCACACTACTGTCAGTCTCTGGTATGTGTCACACTACTGTCAGTCTCTGGTGTGTGTCATACTACTGTCAGCATATGATGTTACACTACTGTCAGTGTCTGGTATGTGCCACACTTCCGTCAATGTATAATGTGTGTTAAACTACTGTCAGCCTCTGGTATGTATGATACACTAGCGTCAGCCGCTTGTGTGTGTCACTCTACTGTTAACCGTTGGTGTATGTCACACTACTTTCAGAGGTTGGTGTATGTCACACTACTTTCAGAGGTTGGTGTATGTCACAACTGTCAGCCTCCAGTATTTTGTGTCGCACCGCTGTCAGTCGGAGTATGTCACACTATTCTCAGCCGCTGGTGTATATCATTCCTTTGTCACCCGCTGGTGTATGCCTCGCTACTGTCAGCTTCTGGTGTGTCACACTACTGCCAAAGTCTGATGAAGACTGGTCAGGAAACAGAAGAGCCTCATGACACGGGTCATGAGGCACTTTTGGTCATCTGAACCAAGCATTTCACTACCTTACTGGTCTACCCCTGGGCTAATGTTTTTTTTCTATACTACTCGGCCGGCCTAACCTGCTGTATTCTACATTTGAATCCGAAATCCAGTTTAGTTGAGCGCAGCGAGTCACCAGGAGTCTGCTGTTGCAGACTCCTGGTGACAGTGTGTGTCACACTTTTGTCATCCCTAGTGTGTCACACTACTATCATCCTCTAGTGTGTCACACTACTGTCATCCTCTAATGTGTCATACTACTGTCATCCTCTAGTGTGTCACAATACTGTCAGCCTCTGGTGTGTGTTAAATTAGTCACTCTCTGATGTGTGAGACTACTGTCAGCCTCTTGTGTGTGCCACAGTACTGTCAGCCTTGATGTGTGCTACAGCACCTTTTGCTCTGGTGCGTCACACTACTTTCGGCCTCATCTCAGCTACTGACTTCTCTGAGGCAAACTGGGTAGGAGACTTGCTAGACTGTTTGTGTGTAATTATTCCTCAGTTGGACACACAGCGCTGTCAGGAGTGCTTAGGTTAGGTAAGATTGGACAAGGGTATCCCGACACGGTTCAGGAAGTGTTTCCTGACACAGTAAATAGCTTTTGGTCATCTTATCAAGGCATTTTACTTGCTTCCGGGTCCACCCCTGGGCTAGTGTTTTCTACTCGGGCGGTCTAACCTAATGTATTCTGCATTTTGAATCTAAAAGCCTAGTTAGTTGAGCGCAGCGAGGAGTCATCAGGTGTGGGCTGGCGCTTTGTGAATTCCTTCACTATCAGCTCGACTTATTCATAAGAACATAAGAAAGAAGGAACACTGCAATAGGCCTACTGACCCATGCGAAGCAGGTCCATGCCGCCTCCCGGCCTAGAACAATGACCACCTAGTCAAGTCACCAGACCTGGTAGCCCAAGCTAGTCAGGTGCAACTCACACCCACTCATGTATTTATCCAACTTATTTTTAAGACTACACAAGGTCTTAGCTTCTATGACGGTACTCGGGAGTTTGTTCCAATCATCCACAACTCTATTACCAAACCAACGCTTTCCTATGTCCTTCCTGAATCTGAACTTTTCCAACTTGAAACCATTGCTGCGTGTCCTGTCTTGGCCGGATATTTTCAGCACGCTATTTACATCTCCTTTATTTATTCCTGTCTTCCAGTTATACACCTCAATCATATCCCCCATAATTCTACGCCTTTCTAGAGAGTGCAGATTCAGGGCCCTCAGTCTATCCTCATAGGGAAGATTTCTGATACATGGGATTAACTTTTCCATCCTCCTCTCTTACTTTTCCAGAGCATTTATATCCATTCTGTAATACGATGAGCAGAACTGAGCAGCATAGTCTAAATGAGGCCTAACCAAGGATATATAGAGTTGAAGAACAACCTGAGGACTTCTATTATTTATACTTCTTCATATGAAGCAAAGGATTCTGTTAGCTTTATTGAGAACACTTATGCACTGTTGTCTTGATTTCAGATTACTGCTAAACAGAGTTCCTAAATCTTTTTCGCAATCAGTAGAATTAAGATTCGTATTAGTCATTTGTTTGGCATATGAAATTTACAGGCGAGGAGCTGTTATTCTAACTCTGGTTATTTCAGAGCCCAGCCATTTGTTAGGTATGCTACCACCCCCTGTGATGCGACCCAATACAGTCCACCAACTCCCAGGTACCTACTTACTGCTAGGTGAAAAATATATATAATAATAAAAACTTATTTCTACAAGTACATGTACGAAGTATACAGGCCTAGCTGACATCAAAGATATATTACTATATAGAAAGCCGCATGTTATGCAGAATATTTCGTGCAAATTAGGTCAGTTTTGTGCCATGATGCGACCCACACCAGTCCACTAACACCCAGGTACCCATTTTACTGATGGGGAACATAGACAACCGGTGTAAGGAAACACATCCAATGTTTCTACCCTCTCCGTAAATCGAACCCGGACTATCCCCGTATGAAGCGAAAGCTTTAGCCACCAGACCACGGGGTAACGTGTGTTAGGTAGCATTCCCAACGAGTTCACCCGTGCCGGGGATGGAACCATGGACCTTCTTCTTTCATATGTTAGTCTCGAATGCTATTTGAGACCAAGAAAACAGTTTTTGCACTAAAAATTTCGAACTCATTCCAAAATAGTCTTGAGACATGATATTAATTGTCCGTGTACATTCAGGCAAGACGATGCAGTTTGCTGAGATGGTTCTGTATCTTGTTCTGGCGCGGTGGTGTTGAACACTGATAGCAGTTTCTTAGTGTTTTATCACTGTTGTCTCAGTCTGAAATAGTTACGACTGTGAATTTACCGGCGAGTTGTGTACACCCGCTCATTCTCGCCTTAGTCACACTCTTACACTGTAATATAATATTTTTTAAAAATGTGAAGATATTATACTTAATGATACTATAGCCCTACAGTGCACTCATTCACTGACACAGTGCACTCCTTCACTGACACAATGCACTCCTTCACTGGCACAATGCACTCCTTCACTGACACAGTGCATGCCTTGACTGACACAGTGCATGCCTTCACTGACACAGTGCACTCCTTCACTGACACAATGCACTCCTTCACTGACACAGTGCATCCTTCACTGACACAGTGCACTCCTTCACTGACACAATGCACTCCTTCACTGACACAATGCACTCCTTCACTGACACAATGCACTCCTTCACTGACACAGTGCACTCATTCACTGACACAGTGCACTCCTTCACTGACACAGTGCACTCCTTCACTGACACAGTGCACTCCTTCACTGACACAGTGCACTCCTTCACTGACACAGTGCACTCCTTCACTGACACAGTGCACTCCTTCACTGACACAGTGCATCCTCACTGAACTGCACTCTTCACTGACACAGTGCACTCCTTCACTGACACAGTGCACTCCTTCACTGACACAGTGCACTCCTTCACTGACACAGTGCATGCCTTCACTGACACAGTGCACTCCTTCACTGACACAATGCACTCCTTCACTGACACAAGTGACTCCTTCACTGACACAGTGCACTCCTTCACTGACACAGTGCACTCCTTCACTGACACAGTGCACTCCTTCACTGACATGCACCCTTCACTACACAGTGCATCCTTCACTGAACACAGTGCACTCCTTCACTGACACAGTGCACTCCTTCACTGACACAGTGCACTCCTTCACTGACACAGTGCACTCCTTCACTGACACAGTGCATCCTCACTACCTCCCTTCACTGACACAATGCACTCCTTCACTGACACAGTGCACTCCTTCACTGACACAGTGCACTCCTTCACTGACACAGTGCACTCCTTCACTGACACAGTGCACTCCTTCACTGACACAGTGCACTCCTTCATTGACACAGTACACCTTCCTGTCACTTCAACACAGTACACTCCTTCACTGACACAGTACACTCCTTCACTGACACAGTGCACTCCTTCACTGACACAGTGCACTCCTTCACTGACACAGTGCACTCCTTCACTGACACAGTGCACTCCTTCACTGACACAGTGCACTCCTTCACTGACATCAGTTGACACTCCTTCACTGACACAATGCACTCCTTCACTGACACAGTGCATGCCTTCACTGACACAGTGCACTCCTTCATTGACACAGTACACTCCTTCACTGACACAGTGCATGCCTTCACTGACACAGTGCACTCCTTCACTAACACAATGCACTCCTTCACTGACACAATGCACTCCTTCACTGACACAGTGCACTCCTTCATCCCCACTGACACAGTGCACTCCTTCACTGACACAGTGCACTCCTTCACTGACACAATGCACTCCTTCACTGACACAGTGCACTCCTTCACTGACACAGTGCACTCCTTCACTGACACAGTGCACTCCTTCACTGACACAGTGCACTCCTTCATTGACACAGTGCACTCCTTCACTGACACAGTGCACTCCTTCACTGACACAGTGCACTCCTTCACTGACACAATGCACTCCTTCACTGACACAGTGCACTCTTATGCACGTGCACTCCTTCACTGACACAGTGCACTCCTTCACTGACACATGCACTCCTTCATGACACATGCACTCCTTCATGACACAGTGCACTCCTTCACTGACACAATGCACTCCTTCACTGACACAGTGCACTCCTTCACTGACACAGTGCACTCCTTCACTGACACAGTGCACTCCTTCACTGACACAGTGCACTCCTTCACTGACACAGTGCACTCCTTCACTGACACAGTGCATGCCTTCATTGACACAGTGCACTCCTTCACTGACACAATACACTCCTTCACTGACACAGTGCACTCCTTCATTGACACAGTGCACTCCTTCTCCAACTTACACAATGCACTCCTTCACTGACACAGTGCACTCCTTCACTGACACAATTGATCACTCCTTCACTGACACAATGCACTCCTTCACTGACACAGTGCACTCCTTCATTGACACAGTGCACTCCTTCACTGACACAATGCACTCCTTCACTGACACAGTACACTCCTTCACTGACACAGTGCACTCCTTCATTGACACAGTGCACTCCTTCACTGACACAAATTTAAACAATCATTTTGGTCTCATTTGGGTTCAGAACACGTATTTCTATGAACTAATATGCCTTTCATGAAATTACTTTACGAAAAGGCGAAGTTAATTTACTGAAATATTAACTGACAAACTTTCCTCTTACTGACCTGTTATCCTTCATTCCAGGCACTCATGACAGCCTTAACACATGACTGTCTATACGTGCACTTTACACGGATGACCTTCACGAAGACTTTAAATCCTTACTGGAAGAATGCATCTTACCTCTGGGACAAGCTTCTTCTTACAACTAACAGTGATTCATGAATATACACTTGAACAATGTCATGAGATCATGCAGCATCATACATGCCCTTAATTAACACAGTAATCCTTACTGGAAAGCATTCTACATATTATGCACTGCAGAAGTACTTCATTAGGAAAAGTGAATCTTACTGACAAAGATTTATTGAAAGTACATACCGTTTTCTGCTCGTGCATGTTTCATTGACAGTCTGAGGCACTGCACTTCTATGGCACATATACAAGCTCGTAACCATCTATGAACAGGCTGTACTGAATAGTAGCGATTTTTATACACTGTTTACCTTCCACAATGAACATGACCATTACCTACAGTGTCCTTCATCTTAAGAACATTCAAGAAGAATGTCTCCTGACATCATGCACCTCATTAAAGTCTTCATGAAGTACATCATAACACGTGACACATTCAACTGTCCTGAGTGACTGACTGTATTTACTGATTACTGTTCATGAATATGGACCCTATGACATGATACTTAAATGCAGTCCATGATTACTTACTGCTGTATGAAAGGCACCTTACTACAGTTATGAGCACTGCATTTGTAAGATATGCAGTTGTCAGAGTACAAATGCAGTTTGTGAGTACTTTGCTGCAAGACATTTTATGCCTATGCATTTATGGGTACTATAATTTGAGAACACTGCAGTTCTAAAGGTACTTCACTACATCGAGGATGTGAATCAAACAAGGCGCGAGTACGTCACTGAGATAATGCAGGCTCTTCACTTGGATATACACTGGACATGCACACAATCCACCTCTGGTCACTATCACCATGTTCTTCTCTGTAAGACATCAAGCATAGGTCATGTGACACACGCTTGTCCTCTATAGTCCGGCACTCTTCATACATCACTCTTCAGTGGAAACATAACTAGGACGGTACTCGTGCGTAGCATGTCTCTTTAGTCCATAGAGCTGAATTATTATTATTGTTATTGTTATTATTATTATTATTATTATAATTATTATAACAATAACATTATTAATTATTATTAATAGGAAGCGGCAGGAGATACATAACGTGCTGCCCACAATAGTGAAGAGAAGACACGCTCTACAGAAGACTTTGATTTTTTTATCAAGTTATGAGTTGATACAGAGCTTAACAACTGATGAAAATGTCGCCCATGTGCAAGCTAATTTTGTAGATGAATGGTTCAGAGAACCGACATGTTGATAAATTAGACACATGTGCAACTCTTGGGTATCTTTATTGAGGAAACGTTTCGCCACACAGTGGCTTCATCAGTCCATACATAGGATAAACTTGAAGAACAGGAGGAGAATGAGGTAATCAGTCCCTCAACCTTGAGTCGATGTGTTCAGTCCATCAATCTTGAATAGATAGATTGATGGACTGAACACATCGACTCAAGGTTGAGGGACTGATTACCTCATTCTCCTCCTGTTCTTCAAGTTTCTCCTATGTATGGACTGATGAAGCCACTGTGTGGCGAAACGTTTCCTCAATAAAGATACCCAAGAGTTGCACATGTGTCAAATTTATCAAGCTAATTTTGCAAAATTTGTCTTCTCTTTACCACATGAAGCGGTAAATCCCTCTGGGTCCTTGTGACCTAAGGGTGTCGGAATGTCGATCTTTCGTGATTTGAAACGCGAAACCAAAACACTACTCAAATGTTCTCACTGCGTTTTTTTTTTTTTTTTGTCATTTTTGTATGTTCGTACGTTGGACTACGTATGGCCAGCAGTAAGAGCCTGGTTGATAAGACCCTGATTCACCGGGAGGCCTTGCCGTGGACCGGGCCGCGGGGGCGTTGATCCCCCGCAATACCCTCCAGTTAGACTCCAGGTGTTGTAGTTTATGAAATCATTAATTCCTTTCACGATTTGTCCAAGCTGTATAATGTATCGTTATATTATTTACGTTAAAATGTCTAGTCGCATGTTTAGGTTAAAGCTTAGGTTTGATGTGTATGTGACAAGCTGCTATTCGTCACGTACTAACTACTGACTTCTTTTAGGTAGGCTGTGAGTGGTGTCTCCCTCGATTGTAGTTACTCGTCTGTTAGACTCAGGTGTCAATAACCTCGTAGCCGAAGCACCGTCAGCAAGAACGAAGAATAAGACACATGTGCAATAGTTAGGTGTATTTTTTTCTGAAACATTTAGCCTACACAGGAGGATTCTTCAGTCGAATACAGAGGAGGTAGGCGAAGCAGTGTAGGCCAAAGATGTCGGAATAAAGACATCTAACTGCTGCACATATTTTACTTTTCAATTTATTGGTATTGTATAATCTTATCTTATCCAGAAGAACGAAGTTGAACACAAAGCGCTACCAGAAGTGGGCTGGTGCTCTCTCTTGACTACACGCCCGACCTGACTCATTCGTATTATATACATCTACGATGCTAAAACATAAACTTAGTCATGATTCATGTATAACAGCATCTAGTGCTCTTTGATGCTATTTTTCACTGCATTCCAGTGACGCCTCTCACACAGGAAACTGGCTGAACGTTAAAACACGAAAGTGAATCTTTAGGTAACGGCTTTAAGCCGGTTCCAGGAGAGCTAAGCGTTGCTGCAATAAAATGTCACATTAGTTACACATGTGTCCTCTTACCTAACACATTGTCGGCAATTCTACCTTTATTACAACCTGTTACATTGTTATATTATAATACCACCATTAATTAGGTTGTCTTGTTACTCTGGAGGAAAGAGTCACCTAACAAGCTGGGAGTTTATCTGCTGGCTTAGTGCCAACTTTGTATCTAACATTAATAATTTGATTTTTCTTGTACCTGACGAAGCTTCCTGGTGTGAAACCTGTGTGTGTGTGTGTGTGTGTGTGTGTGTGTGTGTGTGTGTGTGTGTGTGTGTGTGTGTGTGTGTGTGTGTGTGTGTGTGTGTGTGTGTGCGTGTGTATGTGTGTGTGTTATTACCTATTTGTAATTACCTATTTGCATTACCTATACATAGCAATAGGAGCAGAGGTCTGCTCGTGAAATATCACCTTGAATATTCCGTCTGTCATATATTTTTTTTTTTAAATTTCCAGCACTTAACAATTTATCATTAAATTCTTTTCACTGATCAACCATTCTGACAAAACAAAAAATCTCTACTATCCGCTAAGCTCCAATTTCTTCCTCAACTTGTAACTGTGGTTTCTTGTTATTCTTGCTGCAGGTACTTAGAAATCTTCGTTATCTAGTCTTGCAAGTCCTTTCAAAATCTTAAATGTTATCATGTCTTTCCTTCAACCTTTCTTCAACCTTCAAGTTGCTCATCTCTGACAGCCATTTTGTGGCTCTTTAAACATTGTATAACATTCCTATGTGCTTCTCAGGTGTGGGCGCCACATAATCGCTGCACATTCCAATTCTGGCCTAATTTTCTAAACGGTTCACAATCAGTGGCCTGATGGGTAAAGCCCTCGCTTCACACGGTGAGAGTCCGGGTTCGATTCCGAACTAGGGTAGAGACATTGGGCGTGTTTCTTTACACCGGTTGTCTATGTTCACCCATCAGTAAAATGGGTACCTGGGTGTCAGTCGACTGGTGTGGGTCGCATCCTGGGACATAACTGACCTGATTTGCCCGTAATGCTTTGCATTACAAGCGGCTTTCTATATAGTAATATATTATTAATGTCAGATAGGCCTGTGTACCTTGTACATGTATTTTACATGAGATTTACATCTATATTATAAAATTTACATGAGATTTTTGCATTATCTGCAAATATATTCATATTTTTTTTCATTCCTGCTGGTAAATCATTTATATAAACTAGAATCTTTAGTGTGACGAATATGTACCCTTGTGACGCTCCTCTTGTAGCATCCACTCACGCAGATATTTTTCCTATTATAACTGTTCGCATTTGCTTCTCAAAAATTTATCATTCAGTGTGATAGGTGACTTGTAATTCCTCATATATATTGCAGTTTCCTTGCTAGTCATTCATAGAGGATTATATCAAAAGTTTTCATTAAGTCTAGGTAAGTGCACGCTGCTTATCCATTTCCACCTTGAATAATTCCCATTACTCTCTCATAATAACTTAACAAATTTGATATACATGGACGACTAAACCAAAAACCAAATTGTTCTCCAGTTAGTAT